AGAGCATTGGCCCTCAGACTGAAGGGTCCCAGGTTCGTTTCCTGCCAAAGGCATGTACCTCGGTTGCAGGCTCGATCCCCAACCCGGGTTGGGGTGAGTGAGGGAGGCAACCAATCCATGTGTCTCACTCTCAACGTCTCTCCACCCCTCCACTCTGAAAACATACTTGGGTGAGGATTTTAAACCCACCGCATGAATCGCCACTCCAGGGGTGAAAGGCTGCCTGTGGAGCTTGGCCAGCTGCAATGGCTGCTCTCTGTGGAGGCGCTGAGTGAGCCTCACTCCAGGCCTTTCCTCGGATGGACCTTTGGGAAAAGAATAGAAACACTGACTCATGACCATTGGGAAGGGTCACGAGCCAGAGGCCTTTCTGCAGCCAAAACCAACTCGGAGCCTCCGCCCTCCGTGGAGGGTCCCTTTTGTTACTCAGAAGCCACAAGCCACAGAAGTGGGGAGGAAACACTGAAGAGCTGTAACTAAGGGATATACCCAAACTAGTCCTTGAGAATGACTGGTACTGAGAGACTCTTAGGGTCCAAACTTTGAGCCTCAGGTCAAACAAATTGGAGGACAAGAAGGAAAAGAGAAAAGTAAACTAAAGAAGCAAATCTGAAGGAGAAGCGAGATGAGTGCCATAAGGTCCAAGAAGCCGGGAAGATGGAGAATGCCAGAGACTGTTTAAAAAGTTGTTCCTCTTGAAGTGGGCAGGTAGGAATTTACATCTCAGATACCCTGCACACCTCAGAGGGGGGATGGGGATCTTTAAGCACAAGGTTGCATCTCAGCTCTTCACTGACCACCGTGGGGCCACCGTGGGGCAGACCCTGTCATGTTAAGGGCTGGGATGCAGGGCCGGGCTACATGGAATGCTGAGCTCAGGTGTGCTGGCCGTGTGGGTGCAGCTGGCGCAGGCTGCAACAGGTGTGTAAAAGGAAACGTTTGTCCTGTGTAAATGTGAAAATTTGTGGGTAGCTTCTGGGGCCAGCATAGAACACTTGTTTGACATTGAGTGGTGGTCTAGGTAGGAATGATTAGGGCAATGCAGTGATAGATTTTTGTGGGCCCAAGTGAGAGACGAGCTTTATATGTTTATCCCTATTGAATAATTCAGAGCTAGATTTGTGACTACATGGTCATTTAAGGTGGACACTGAAGTACTTTGTAATAATGGGGAGAAAAGCAGTATGAGCGGTGGAGGGAGAAAGTGCACCTTCAGATGTTTGAGGCACAAAGGAAAGAAGCCCTAGGAGTCAGGGAAACTTCGGACTAAGAATGAACATAAGTATGGAAACCACATTCAACTTCGGATACAGAATATCTTCTCAACCTACTTGCTGAGAACGTGTTGCTTAGCTCAGAAGATGGACCCAAACTAACAAGGTGAGATAACCAGCCTAAATCTGAACATCTGCAAAAATTCAACCACACAGGTTCAGGTAGGGAGATTGGCTTAGTAGCTTGTTTAATACACAACAACATAAAAACATGATGACAGCCCTGGCTGGTTTGACTCAGTGGTTAGTGTCGGCCCTCAGATGGAAGGATCCCAGGTTTGATTCCAGCCAAGGGCAGGTACCTTGGATGCAGGCTCCATCCCCAGCTCTGGTCAGGGTGCATGCGGGAGGCAGCCAATGGATGTTTGTCTCTCCAAATGATGTTTCTCTCTCTCTCCCTCCCACTCTCTCTGAAAAGCAAAGGAGAAAATATCCTCAGGCGAGGGTTAAAAAATAAACAGAAAACCTGGCAACAAAAACACCTGAGGTTTTCCTTTATTGTAAACTCTGTTACAAACTAATAGCATGGAGTTGCTAAAAGCCAAATTCTATTAGGACGTGCTAATGAAAGTGGGGTCTGAGAGGAAGAATGCAAGAATCCAGGCTACTGTTGGCACGCCATGTTCATTTGTGGCCACCAATGTTAAGGACCTCAATGACAAGCTGGGGTAGCCAGTGGGTGGGCAACTGTAGAGGCAGGACCAAAGGAACGGGTTACTTAGGTGGGAAGTAAAAACACTTCCTAACAGAGGTACTTATTCAAAGCTGGATTGGTCTCCCTTTTGACAGAGTTCCTTATCCCTGGAAATGTTTAAGCATAGCTTGACTAATTGGGTCCCGGTGGCTAGGGAAGATTCCCGCACAGAGCAGAAGGTAGAATTTCAGCTTTCTCCCAGCGGGATGATGATCCTCTCACCACTTCCCTGCCTACCGCTCCGCCTGGCCTGGGGCAGCTGCAGAAGGGCGCAAAGAATAGCCTGTGGGTTCAAAACTGGCTCGTTTCCCCTGACCAGGGAGCAGGTGGACCCTCTGACCTGCTCACCCAGGGTTAGGGCGTAGCTGCTGGCAGGCCGGGCCGGCTCAGAACTGCCCAGCAGTGAAAGGACCCCGAGTCCTGAGTACGGATTTCCACGCTTCCCACCTTCTGACGACACAGGCATCTTGGGCTCCACGGAGACCAGCAGTGCCTGGGACGCACAGCCTCCAGCGCCAGCCTCGTTCCCGAAGTCTCTTCCCTCCAGGGGCCTCAGTCTGACTCCCACAGCCCTCCTCAGGAAGCCGACTCCCAAACCCGGGCAGGGGGTGTGGGCCAAGGGCTTAACCCCGCCCCCAGGGGTCCCTGATCTTTGACCCCGCCCGGGGCTCTGCGCCTCCCCAGGAGGCCACCTGCAGGCTGGCGGAGCTGCCTTTTGTGTGTTCCGCTCGGAGGTGCCAGAGGTCCCAGAGACCCCCAAGCCGTGCGCCGCATCCCCTTGCGGCCCCCGGCCCCTCCTCTCGGCTTCCCCTGCCCCCCTGCTCGGCTCCGCGTGCCAGCTCGGGGCTCGCTGGTTCGTTCCCCACGGCGCCAGGAGGAGGGGCGAGGGCCGGTAGCCCCCTCCCCCGCGCGCGGCGCAGGAGCCCAGCCGAGTCGGGGGGACGCTCCACCGCCGGTCATGTGGGCTGGACTGTTCCTCCGAGCCGCCTGCGTCGCGCTCCTGCTGCCTGGGGCCCCAGCCCGCGGCTACACCGGGAGGAAGCCGTCCGGGCACTTCGGTGCTGAGAGGTAAGCGCCCCGCGTCCTTCCCTTGCCCCGCCGCGGGGGCGCTCCGGCCGTGGAGGAGCGGAGGGGCGCCCGGAGCCGCTGGCAGCCGCGAATCGGGGGTCCCCCTCTGGGGTTCCGTCCGCGCGCGGGCGCAGCCCATGGGGGCCGGACAAAGAGACTGCAGCTCGTGCCTCTGGGCGGGTGCATCTTCTCTGCCTCTGTCCGGGGCTGTTCGGCTGGGACCCGGAGGGGGGAGCGGAGACCCAGGCGCAGGGTGAGCCCACGTGAGTCTGCCCTGCAGCGCAGACCTGGGGCGAGGGGAGCCCGGGACGTGCCACCTGGTCTCCAGATTGGCTGGCTTCGCTCGAGAACGTGCCGGTGCTTCTGCCTCGGCGGGGCCTGGCTCCCCGGGCGCGGGCTTTCCCCGTGTGCGGGCTCTGCGCGAGCGCTGTGGACCTTGGAACCGCCGGGGTCTCTCGGGGTTATGTTTCGGTTTCCGCCCGCGTGTGCGCGTGGGCGGGGTGGAGTGTTTGTCCCTTTGCTCTTTCCCGACCGATGCCGCCTCCTCCTCGGGTCTCGCGGCGGAAGCCAGGCTCCCGCCGGCTGAGCACGTGTGCGCGTGATGCTCGGAGCGGGGGGAGCGCGGTGTCGGCGGGCGGCTGGGCCTGGGTCACTCCCCGAGGGGGTGGGGGCGCAAGGGGCGGCCCTGCGGAGCTCGCGCGTGTTACACCGCCGCTGCCGGGTTTTGCCCAGATTCTGCAGACTCCTCGAGCTTCGGGGCATTCCTGCCACCTGTCTCCCCACCACGGCCCGCCCTAGGAGGCTCCTGGGCATTCTTACATCTGCCACTTTGGTGGCACCCCTGTCCCTTTCAGAGCCAGGTCTGAGGAGCGGGAGCTGCTGACTCCTCCTTCCAAGGCAGTGGAGGGGACTGCGCTGTCGGTCCCCCTCCCCCAGGGCCTCCTCTTTTTCTGTGATGACTTCAGAGAGCAAACAGGCTTTAGAGGAAACGTACAGGAACCGTTTTCTGCAGACGTTTCTGTGCTGCCTTGTGCCCTGGGCTTCCCTTTCAGACAACTTGTCACATTTGGCATGGATTAATCTCCCCAAGAGTGGGGTGGGTCTGTCTTGTCCATCCATGTCCTCAGCCCTGGGGCTGTGCCAGGCTCATGGTGGGTGAACTGCCTGCCAGCTGACTGTTCCCACCAGCCTCCAAACAGGTAGAGCACAGGTGGGAGGTGTTTCTTGGCCCTGTTCTGTTGTGTGGGCTTCCCAGTTGAAACCAGGCTGGACGACCTCATCCTCTCCCCAGCCCATCACAAAACCAGTTGCAGTCATGTCTTTGCCCCCAGCCGGACCTGTGCCCCGTGCTCCCTCTGCCTGGAGTACCATCCTGCACTCTCACTGGCTGCCTCTGTGCCTCTTCCCCACCTCAGCCTTCCAGGGAACCTCCCCTGACCCTACTCTGGGCTCCATAAGCCAGACCTGTTGTGGGACTTGTCACAGCACATTGTTAGCACCTGGTTCCTTGCTTGCCCAGTGCCCCCGAAGGTGGGGAGATGGCTTGTTCATGGCTCTACTGCTGTGCCTCACCCGCGTCTGGCACTGTGGCTTCTTCACTCCTCTGGGCAGCTCACTGGCATCCCCACCTCTATCCCAGAGATGTTACCTGGGGAATGACATCTGTCGAGCCCCTCTGGGCCTGCCCTCCCCCTTCCTCTTTTCTGCTTGCTTCCCTTCTCAACCTTTCCCTCAACAGCCATTTACTGAGCACCTACTGTGTGCTAGGTACTGCTCTTGGTGTGGAGGTGAACAAAAAGATGAAGCCCTTGTCCTCAGGAAATGGTAGGGGAGACAATCAACAAATGAAAAAAATTAATAAGTAATTTAATGTCCCAGGAAGTGAGTGTTATAAAGAAGAATTAAGCAAGGTAAGGGTGGATGAGGAGGGCCTCCTTGAGAAGGCAACAGAGCAGAGAGGCCTGGGTAAAAGGAGGGAATGATCAGGTGAGTGTCCGAGGAAGAACCTTCCTGAGAGAGGGAACTGCAAGTACAAAGGCCCTGAGGTAGCCATCCCTGGGGCTCTTCATCCATTGCAGCTTTTCTTCCTCAGCATTGAGGCCCCCCTCTCCTGGCCACTCTTCTGTGTCATGTGGCAGGTAATCTGTAGGACACTGGTGTCTTTGTCCTGTCTCCAGGACAGGCTATCAGGGTCTTTTTTCTTTGGAAACTTCCCATTGCCTCTCCTGAGGGTCTCGAGAACTGTTTGTTGACTAACTTACTCACTGGCTTGGGAGGCTTTCACTCCTTTGTAGACCCATCAGAATGTGGAAAGTGTTCTCTCCTCTCTTGCAGACGCCGGCTGGGCCCCCACACCTGCCTCTCGGGGTTTGGGAGTGGCTGCTGCCCTGGCTGGGCGCCCTCCATGGGCAGTGGGCACTGCACCCTTCGTAAGTACCTGTCCCCGTGCCCCAAAAATCCTCCCCAGAAGGCGCTCATTCCCTGGGCTGGGGCAGACGGGGGGCCCCAGCCTCCACCCCCTCACCTGCATTTCTCCTCTCAGCCCTCTGCTCCTTTGGCTGCGGGAGTGGCATCTGCATCGCTCCCAATGTCTGTTCCTGCCAGGATGGAGAGCAAGGGGCCACCTGCCCAGGTAACGGGGCAGGCAATGGCTCATGGGAAGAACTCTGTTAACACTGAGATTATGTGCCAGACATTGGGCACTGTGTCTTGGCATATCATCTTCAAACGACCCTATTAGACAGGCATTCTCATTCCCATTTTATAGATGAGGAAACTGAGTCACAGAAGTTAGTGGCTCGCACGGAGTGACATGGCCAGTGACTGGCAGAGCTGGATTTAAACTTAGTCCTGTTTGGCTCCAGAGGCACCTTCCCAACATAATCCAGGAGGATCCCTGGTGGGGTGGGAGTGGCCAGGACTGCGGCATGGTGCATGCTCACGTGTGCGGTGCCTTTTTCAGAAGCCCACGGACCCTGTGGGGAGTACGGCTGTGACCTTACCTGTAACCATGGCGGCTGTCAGGAGGTGGCCCGAGTATGCCCTGTGGGCTTCTCGATGACAGAGACAGCTGTTGGCATCAGATGTACAGGTGAGAGACCTGGGAGCAGTGGGGGAGGGGTGGGCAGGAATTATGTCCACTCCCTCTCCTGCCAGGATGGTCTCCAGAGAGATGCCAGAGCAGGGCTGGGCCAGGATGAGCTCTGCAGGTTGAGAGTGGGCAGGGAGTCATGCAAACCAAAGGAATATGTTGGCACCTCTATGGGTCAGCAGCAGAGCTGGGGATGGGGACAATAACAGTGTATTACACACATGCATAATGGGACAGTACCTGGTGAAGTGCAAGGTGGGACTGGAGGTGGGGTGGCCGAGGAAGGCTCCCTCGGGAAAGTGACATTTGAAAGATCTGAAAAGTGAAACTCAAGAATTTTCTTGTAAAAGTGTAATTTGTTCGTGATTTTGAAAACTTCCTATGGCAAAGTCTGTTACCTTCCCCAGAGGCAGCCACTGTGACCAGTTTCTTGCATATCTTTCCAGAGGTGAAAGCCTCTTTTTGACGTTTGATTTGGTAAAAATCATATTTCTTACCCTGAATACCAAAGTAAAAGATAACTAACTCGTTTTGGAACATTTGGAAAGTAAAATAGTAAGGTGAAAAACCCAACATGTCTTGGAAGTCCCTACCCAGAGATATTTGTTGCAAAAATGAAGCTCTTTTTCCTGCCCTTCTCCTGGGGTGCAGACGTGTTTGTAGCTGTATACCTGTGTGTGTGTTTGTTACGCATGCATATCCGTGTGTTTTATAAAATTGGGAGCACCCCTTATCTATAGTTTTTGTTCACGATTTTCTCACTAAACTTTATATGGGAAGCACAAAATAGTCCTTACAACATAATTTTTAACAGCTGCATATGTGGCTGCTGTAATTTAAGTACCCAGTTCTCTGTTACCCCTCATTTAGCTTGTCTGCAATGTTTCACCGCTATAAATAATGCTGCAATAAAGGGCTTCTTGTCGGCATCTCTGATTATTCCCAGAACTGCTGGGTTGGAGCGTCTCACGAAAGAGTTTTGCTGCTGGGGCTCCTTGCACCATCCCCTCCAAGAAGGCTGAAGTCATTCATTTCCCCCTGAGTGTCTTTCAGGGGAGAACATTCTGCACACACTTCTTGTTGCAGAGGCGAACTGACTGAGGGAAAGCCAGATGACAGTGTCAAAGCAGGCACCGGGCAGGGCGCACTGGCCACCGCCACAGGGGATCCCAGTGGGAGGGCTTAGTCAGGGCAGGTTCTTAGTGGTGGGCGTGGCCTGAAGGGCCCAGAGTGAGGAGAGTGGAGGTGTCCTTGGGCTTGGGGGCAGGGGGTGGGGGCCTCAGGTGCAGACTGGAGTGGGCAGAGCTGGCCTTGTAGGTCCTCCAGAGCCACCATGGTCTTTGGATGAGGAAGGGATGCTATGAAGCGGGTGGGGAGGTCTGTCTCCCAGCCCCCCTCACTCCTCAGGCCTGAACCTCCCCAAAGCACTACTTGTATTCATTTAGTCACCCCCACCACCACCACCCTCGGGGCAGAAGCTTTGGAGACTCCTTGGTGTTCACTAGCTGAGCCTTAACCCAGCTCTCAGCCCTGCCTTCCGCTGCCCTGGCAGGAACCCGAGCTTCAGCCAGGTCTCCCCCTGTGCCTCCCAGAACGTCCTCGGACTCCACCTGATGCCCCTGCTCCTGAAGCCCCCCGGTTGTCAGCCCAGCTCTCCTCCAGCACCCTCCTGCTGTGGCCGGGCGTTCCCTGGTGGGGCACACATCGCCCGGCCGCGTGTGGTCTCCTGGGTGTGTGCTGTGGCTCCCACCTTAGACTGTAACCACCTGGGGAGTCAGCACCCTGCCTTAGTCACATTTGTGTCCTCAGTGTCTCCCCTCCAGGCCTGCCCCACACAGCTGGCACTCAATAAACTTTTAAGGGGATCTATTCAGCCTCCTTGCCACTCCCTCTGCCCTGTGGGGTTGCCCTGTGGATGGGAAACAGTCTGTCTCAGCCACCCTCTTGGTCATCCGGCCTCAGCCTCTTCTTTCTGGGGCTTCCCCATAGTCCGATGACTTTCCTGGTGCCTGGTCTTTCTTCCCGTGGTGGGGTGTGGTTAGGGTTTCCACCCTGCCGAGGGTAGGCGGGTGTGGGTGCGGGGTCCACGTGGGGTACTTTCTCCCTGCGTACAAGCTCATTCACAGTGGGCCGTGCAAGGGTGTTTTCTCTCTTCCCAGACATTGACGAATGTTTAAGCTCCTCTTGCGAAGGCCACTGCGTGAACACAGAGGGCGGGTTTGTGTGCGAGTGTGGGCCGGGCATGCAGCTGTCTGCCGACCGCCACAGCTGCCAAGGTGAGGCTGGGGGTTGGTGATGATGATGTCGCCTCTGCTGCTGCTGGGCGCCCACGCTGACCATGTGGCGCTGCGGGCTGACTGGGCCAGGCTCTGCAGACAGGGCCAGTCAGAAAGCGTCCCGCCCTCCAGCTGCCCCAGTCTGGTGGGGAACAAAACATGGTTGGGACGAGAGATCAGTGCTGTGGGGACCCACGGAAGAGAAGGCATCTCTCCTCCTAAGTGAGCAGCATGAGAGAGACCTTTGAAAATTATCACTCATTCTCTTAAGGTGACTTATTTATAGAAGTTAGGTAAGGAAATATTCTTAAGGCGGCTAAGACAAAAGTTCCCCCTTGATGCTGCAGTATTTTTTTCTGTGTGTTTGAAATTTTCATCAGTTATAAAAAGTTTGACAAGTCGCTAGCTCCAGGCCCGCCCCCCCCCCTTCCATCCCTGCACTCTGCTCTCCCTATAGAGTAACCCTGGTGTCTTAGCATAAGCTGCTATAACAAAATTCCGCAGACTGGACAGCTTACACAACAGAAATTTATCCTCACTGTTCTTGAGGCTAGAAGTCCAAGATCAAGGTGCCGGAAGTCCAAGATCAAGGTGCTGGTCCATTCAGTTCCAGGTGAGGGCCCTCTTCCTGGCTTGCAGACGGCAGAGAGAGTGAGTGAGCTTTCTGGTGTCTCTCATAAGGGCACCAATCCCATCATCAGGGCCCCACCCTCCAGACCATCAAAACCTAGTTACCTCCCACAGGCCCACCTCCTAACACCATCACATTGGAGGTTATGGCTTTAACATATGAATTTGGGGGACACAATTCATCCATAGCACCTGGTTATCAACCCATCTAGTTATTAATCTGCCTGGCTCTCCCCAGCACATGTACACACACACACACACACACACACACACATGCACTCAATAACACAGAGATATAGTAAGAGATGAGCAGTTCACAGTACTGAACTGTTGTGTCTGGGCACCATGCTGAGCACTGTAGATGCATTTTCTCATTTCATCCTCAGAATTATCCTATGAAGTTGGTACTGTTTACTTCCATTTTCCTGATAGGAACACTGAGGCCTAAAGAAATTAAATAACTTACCTAAGATCATGTTAGAGCTGGAATTGGAAGCCAATCATTCTTCTACATGCTTCCTCCCGCCCCCTTAACAATCTGTCTTGAAGATCTCTCCACATCAGGGTCAACAGACCTGCTTTGTTCTTTTAACTGCCACCTGGTCCTCTGCAGTGCAAATATTCCATGGTTTAGTAGTTCTGTTACTGATGAACATGTAGATAGTTCCAGTTTTTTACCATTTCAAATACCAGCATGGGGAAGCTTTGACAGAGGAGGTGCTATAGAGGCTGAGTTTTGAGGTATGAGTAGGAGTTTTCCAGCCAGATGAAATGGAAAAGCAGTATAAGCAGACAAGAGAACGTGGGCAAAGGGGAGGCCCACAAGAGCATGTGCAGTTGGAAGATGGCAAGAATTTAAGTCAGAGCAAATGTGAGGGGTAGGGAAGGAGGTAAAAAAGGCAGCCCGGGGTTTGTGAACTATGGTGCTGCATTGGTGCTTGTGGGAGCCATGGAGGGTGCCCTTTGGTCAGAACACCTGGAGGCTGTGTAGAGGTTGGCTTGGGAGGAGCACAGGTAGAAGCAGGGAGATGCCAAGGCTGTTGCTCTTCTCCAGACTAGACAAAGGTGGCCTGGGCTAGCATATGCAGTGCGGGCGGAGGGAAGGCTGATCCAGAGAGGGTTTAAGAGTTGATACACTGAATGTGGGCAGAGAGAAAGAGGGGTTAAGGTGGTTCTCCCGCAGCCTTGCGTAGGGCAGGAGATGGCAATGAGAGATAACAGGGACCACATATTTCCAGAACTCCATGGGGGAAAGAGCTCCAGCCTTGTCCGTTCCCTTCCAGACACCGACGAATGCCTCGGGACCCCCTGTCAGCAGAGATGTAAGAACAGCATCGGCAGCTACAGGTGTTCCTGCAGGACTGGCTTCCATCTCCACGGCAACCGGCACTCCTGTGTAGGTAAGGTCGGGAGGACCCTGTTGTCTTCACACTCAGGCTACCAATCAGGAAGATGGACAGGGCAAGCCCAGGGACAGGGAGAGGTCAACAGTCTGGACCTCCTGGTCCCCTAGAGCCTGTAAGCGCTCGAGCCTTCGCTCAGCGCCTGCCTTCGCTGGGGTTGGCGTGGCTCCTCTTGGAAGACCCTGTCTTGGACTTTTCCTGGCCACACGCCTCTTTCATCCTGTTATGTTTCTCTTCCACCCCTCCTCCCAGATACACCCCAGGATTCCTCTCTGCTCACCCATTTTCTTGGCTGCCTTTGCTCCCCTTGGTAAATAAAGCACGTTATGTCTTAGTTCTCTGGTTTAGAAGGAGACCCCTGTTTTCTTAGCCCATTAGCAGAAATTTCCAGCAAGGGATTGGCATGTTTGGCTTGAGCTTGGCTCGTGGGTTGAAGGTGGGGTCCCATGGGCCTGAAAAAGGACCTTGTTCTAGTGGAGTTCGGCTATTTGTCCTGAAGCCTACCTGGAGCAGTACAGTGAATTTTGAGACGGTTTTTTCAGATGGGGCTACACCACTGACACCTGACAGGTGGGATGGTGGAAGGTTTGGAGATGAGATTCCCCATGGGCTCATCCCCTCCAGCCAGCACATAACCCTTACTGCCTAGTGCTGGGCGATGAGTCACTGGTGCATCCATTAAGTGCCTACTGGATGCACAAGAGGACTAGCATAGGTTTTAGCCCCACTGCCAGACATCTGAGTCACACCCCACACCCTGGGGCAGGGAGACTCCCCAAGACTCTTAGGGATGACTGAAGAAAGGAAAGGTAGCCCTGACAAGGCAGCTGTTGGCAGCGAGGCTCTCCTGCAGATGTAAACGAATGTCGGAGGCCTCAGGAGAGGCGAGTCTGTCACCATTCTTGCCACAACACCGTGGGCAGCTTCCTGTGCACGTGCCGACCTGGCTTCCGATTGCGAGCTGACCGGGTGTCCTGTGAAGGTGAGCGACCAGCCAGCCCCTCCGATGTCCCCCCATTCCAGACCACACCCTCCCAGCACCAGGGCCCGCCGCCCTCCCAGAGCCTGACCCTCTCCCTTCGCCACCCGCTCTTGTGTCTAATTCATCGTATGTCCAATACTTCACTTTCTCCCTTCCGACTTCTATTGCTTTATCCAGTCTTTCCCCCTTTTTACATCATTGTGTCCCTAGTCCTTCTGTTTTCCCCCAAATGGTAAAAGAAAAAAAAAAGAGGAGCGTGTGACATAGGAGCCCCAGTAAGCTGGGCTCCCAGGGACACTTTGGACAGTGGTGTCAGATCACTCTGCCGTACTTTACCAGCGTGCCCGTGAATATACGTATAATGTTATATAGAAACTGAAGGTGCCCTTTCTAGTCCGTGGCGAGTTCCCCTGGGCCTCAGCGTCCCATCCCAGGAAGCCACACATGGGTGGGGGCAGGGACACAGTCCCACTTTAACAGCCGTGGCCTGCTCCTTAGGTACATTTCCATCAGCCTTCCTGTGTGATCCTGACTGCAGCCCCAGTACTTTAAAAGTTGAACTGGTTGTGTTAGACCCATTGTGTTGATGAAGAAACTGTCCCGGAGACATTCAGTGACTGGCGGCAGAGCTGAGTCCAGGCCCCTCAGTCTTACCTCCCTCAAGACACCCCGTGCTTCCGTTTCAGCTCTCCCGAAAGCCGTGCTGGCCCCCTCCGCCATCCTGCAGCCCCTGCAGCACCCGCCCAAGACGCTGCTGCTGCTTCCAGAGGCCGGCCGGCCGGCCCTCTCCCCAGGACACAGCCCCCCTCCTGGGGCTCCAGGGCCGCCAGCCGGAGTCAGGACCACCTGCCTGCCATCCCCCGCCTCTGCATTACCAACAGCTTCCCCTTCTGCCCCGACGAGGCTGCTGGCCACCCCAGTGGCCACCCCAGGGCCCAGTGTTTCCCTGTTGGGGACCCTCAGACCTCCCTCACAACTCCAGGAGAAGGCAGTGGTTACCCCTTCCTTGCCCAGGGGCCCCGCTGCCCCGCAGCCCACACCAGGGCCCTCTGCCTGCTGGCACCTGGGAACCACGTATGAGTCTGGGAGCCACTGGACGGAGCATGGGTGTTCCCAGTGCTGGTGCGAGGTGGGTGTGAGGGGTCCTCGGGGCTACCCTGGTCTGGTGCTGGGGTCTTGTGGTGATTGGGACTCCCGCCTCCAGGATGGGACAGTGACCTGCGAAAACGTGACGTGTGAAGCTGCTTGTTCCCACCCAGTCCCCCCTGGAGATGGGGGTTGTTGTCCATCGTGTACAGGTGGGAGCTGGTCCAGGGGCGGCCGTTTCCCACACGGTCCCACCTTGTCCCTTCCTGGCCCTTCCGCAGCTGAAAGGCTGTTCTCCAACTTTCTCGCACCTTAGAATCACTGGAAGGAGGATCCCTGGGCCCCAGCCCGAGAGCTTCTGATTTAGCAGGTGTGGGATGGGGCCAGGAATTTGCATTTCTCCCAAGTTCCCAGGTGATGCTGATGGCTGCTGGCCCAGGGACCACAGTTTGAGAACCACTGGTCTATGCTGTGATACCCCTCAAGGGGAACTTTTCACTTCTGGGGATCCCTTCTGAGCTTTTCATTCATTCATTCGTGCAATGAGTTTCTGCATGTCCCAGCCGGTGAGAGAAGGCTCCAGGTACACTGTGCCTGGAAAAGCAATGAGCCCACAAGCCGCCTCCGCTTTGAAGAGGTCTGACGCCTCCTGCGCTCCTGTTTGTCTTTCTAAGGCTGTTTTCACAGCGGCGTCATAAGAGCCGAAGGGGCCGTGTTTTCACCTCCCACGGAGAACTGCACCATCTGCGTCTGCCTGGTGAGCTTCATAAGATCCCTGAAGCCCAAAACCTCATGGGTGTTTTCTTAACCTTTGGGGGTTTTAGAGGTAGGAGGAAAGACCAGATGTTAGAGGTGAGCTCGTGGAATGGAGGGAGAGTTCTCAGGTTGTGGGTTTTGGTTGGAAGCTGTCAAATTTAAAAGGTTTGTGAGAAATGTGGGACCTGTAGGTCTGTGGAGTCAGGGAGGCTTCTGCTGAGCAGAGAAGAGCCAACAGGCGAACAGGGTCCATCTGTCTAGGAAGGGGAGGGGAGGAAAGTCCCTCGGAAACTTCCCCCCAGGGAGGCTGTTTTTCTCTCCAGGCAAAACATTAGCCGGCACAATGAAGGCATCCTTACCAGGCAGCTTGTGGAGAGCATTTTGCTTTAGGCAAACCCACTCCTCCAAGAATACTTATTAAGTACCTACTGTGTGCCAGACGCTGGGAGATGCGGTCACACAGATTTGACTGTGACTACCTTGGTGCACAGACCTTGGTGCTTTTCATAGGTTTCCTCACCTGAGGCTCCTGGGGGCTCTTTAAGGTCAGCTTTACTGTCCCTGTTTAACAGATGAGGAGACTGAGGCTGGGATGGAGCGGAGCTGGGGTTTGAGCTGAGGTCTGTCTGCATCCAAAGCCCTGGCTTTGTCTGCCAACCCTGACTGTCACCCTCTGACTATCTTTAAAAGCAGCCCCTGGTCTGGCAGCGATGACGAAGCTGCGATGTGAGATGGGGTGTGGGGCACGTAGATAGCTACCACACCCACCGTGGAGCTCTTCCTGGGTGCCACACATGCAGTGGCCAGGCGCTTTTGTGGGTGATCTCATTTCACATAATCCTCAGCATCCCCCATAGATGGGGAGACTGAGGCTCAGAGAGGTGATAGACTTTGCCCAAAAGCACACAGCTTATTAGTGGAGGAGCAGACCCTGGAACCCAGGTCTGGCTGGCTCCAAAGCCAGGGGCTCTTTGGTCTTAACTTCAGGTTTTTAAAATGTAGTTTTGAAATCTTGTTCAGTGGTTAGAGCATCCGTCCACGCACCAAAGGGTCACGGGTTCGATTCCCAGTCAAGGGCACGTACCTGGATTGCAGGTTTGATCTCCAGCCCTGGTTGGGGCAAGTGCAGGAGGCAACCAATTGATGTGTCATTAATGTTTCTCTTCCCCCCCACTCCCTCCCTCCTTTCCACTCTCTCTAAAAAAGACAAAAATCAATGAAAAAATATCCTCCTGTGAGGATTAACACACAAAACAAAACAAGTAAAAAAAAATTTGATTCTTTGAATAGCTAATGTAGTCACTGGTTCAAAACTCAGTTGCACTGGAGGGTGTCCCTGGTGGAGCAGCCTCTGCCCTCCGCTTCTCGGCTCTCAGAGGGAGCGCTGTGGACGGCTAGGCCCGTCCCCCTCACAGGGAAGGCGGCAGGCTCTACTCTCCAGTCCGGCCCTGGTTATGGAAAGGGAGACGTTCTAACCACCCCATGATAAATGCCAGACACTGGGTCCCTGCAGGCCCTCCTTGTTGTGACCATGGTGGCATTTAAAGGTCTGGGAAAACTTTCTTTAGGAGGCTTTTGCGTTGGACGGGAAGCCTGAGGTGTGGTGTGAAACGGGTGGGGAATGAGCTGGTTCTTGACGGGCCTAAAGGGCACCAGAGCCTGCTTCTCCTACCCCCTTTCCCTACCCACCATCGTCTCTCACCTTCTCAGGCTGGAAATGTGTCCTGCATCTCCCCTGAGTGTCCTCCCGGCCCCTGTCAGGCCTCCCCGAAGTCGGACTGCTGTACCTGTGTTCCAGGTAAGTGACTCTTTGGGTTGGGGCGGAGGTGGCAGAATTTAGCTTTTTTGTGTATTCTGGGGAGGGGTGTCTTTTGAGTATATTTTTTGGGGTGAGGGGAGTGGATGGAGACTGATTTCTGCTTTAGACACTCAGATCAAGTGAAGCATTTCAAAGTGCCCATTTTAATTGAGCACCTGCTATGTGCACAGTAGTTTGTATGCTAGACTGGGCTCACAGCCTGACCTGCCTCCTGCCCCCAGAGGCACCTTCAACACAGGCAGGAAGGGGATTGGATCTACTCTTGGCATTGCTCTGTCTGGAGACGGAGAGGGGCCATCGTCTTCCCCACTAATGAGTTGGTCCTTTGTTAAAACTTTGGTTCTCTTTCCTGGGATGACCTCATCACTGTCACTAATATTCCCTGTGGGCTCTGTGCCATTGCTGTGTGGGCCTTGCCAGACCTTGATCTCATTGAATCCGTATGGCACTGCCCTGAGGGAGTACTATTCATAGCTCCGTTTCATAGGTGAGGAAACTGAGGCTCAGAGAGCTCAAGTCGCTGCCCAAAGACACACCAGCTGGTACAGGAGCAGAACTTGAACTCAAGCCTACCAATATCAAAGTTGGCCTTTTAACATATTTTTTCTTAAATTTTAGATGTTATATTAGTTTTAATTTAAAAATTTTTTTGAATAAGCTATATAGTTTGTAGAAGGTAGCAGCTGTTATCAACCCCATTGAACAGATGAGAAAACTGAGGCTCAGCACTTACCTGTCGTGCCCAAAGTCACTCCCTATGGGTTATGTAGGTGGGATTTGAACCCAGGGCAGTCTGACTTGTGCCAGGTGGGCCTGCACAGGTTTGGGGCTGTTTCTACCTGTGGGGGATCTTCAGGTGAGAGGCTCTCACTGAACCCTCCCGGCGCCCCGGCTGGCACGGCTCCCAGAGCTCCTAGGTGTCCGGGCCAGCCTCTTTCCATTTCTCTTCTCTCCCTCTGGAGTTATTCTGGGCGTCCCTCGCCCTTTTGGTTAAGGACCTTGCGTTACTCGCAATTCCTTCTCCGTCAGTTTTTCAGTAATAGGATATTTTTTGTCGGGGATTTGGAGGGAAGTGAGTGGGGTTCTTGGACGTGGGCTGTGCTGTGGAGTGTTGTGGGAGTGTGAGCTTCCCCGGGACCCCCCACCCATCGCTCCCCCTTTTCCTTCAGCTGCCCCCACCCAAAGGCCTTGAGCTGCTTCTCCCTTTCCTCTCCGCAGTGAGGTGCTATTTCCACGGCCGGTGGTATGCAGACGGGGCTGTGTTCAGTGGGGGTGGTGACGAGTGTACCACCTGTGTCTGCCAGGTAAGGGCTGAATCGGTGGGTTGCGGGGAGGGCGCAGGGCACAGCACTTACCCAGGATGCCTTGGCCACGAGAAGAGGAGCCACCATGCAGAAAAAGGGAGACTGAGGCAGCAAAGGGCCTAAGGGACCTGCACTCACCAAAGCATTCCGCAGGCTCCTTGAAGTTTGCCCTTCAGTAGTGCTATTTGTAGAGCACCTACTGTGTGCCTGGAGCAATGCTGAGTGCTGGGGACACAGCGAAGTGTAAGGCAGGCCCAGTCCCCTCTGTCAGGGACCCCGCAGCCTGGGTGGGCGTGGGTGATGGGTGGGTGACCAGAGCTCCTAGCCAGGCTGCAGGCTTTGTGGGGAGCCTTCTTGGAGAAAGGGGTGCTGAGGCAGGGCCTGAGGGATGAGTAGCACTGATCAGGTGAGGAGCTGAGGCAGGTGCCTGGCAGCAGACAGGAGGTGAGAGAGAGAGGGAGAGGGGGAAAGGGAAAGGGGGAGNGAATGGGCAATCAGGAGGTTGTGCCCACGGGGGATGGATAATCAGGAGGTTGGGCCTTGTGGAAACCCCAGCTCAAGTTCATCCACGTTTGTGAGGCTGATGTCAGGGGCCGCTGCTGCCCTGGCCTTAAAGGAGGCAGGCTGCCCTCCTGGTGGCCAAGTAAGAGCTCATGTTCTCTGCTTCCTTTAGCCAAGAATTTGAGCCAGTGATTCCAGGGTGGTGTGTTATGCACATAGAAGGTGACACATTGCTAGGTGAATTTGCCTGACACCCAGGTGCCCCCAACCCCTCAACCTATAGGAGTCACATGCTCAACAATGGTCCAAGCCCTGTGCTCTGTTACTCCTCAAGGGACATCCTCACTGTGGATTTTGCCTCATCAGCCACCTAGCTCTTGTCTGCTCCTTCAGCCCACATCAGTCACCTGTATGATGGGGTGGACACTAGCTTTCCCGGGACTTTTGTTATTCCTAGAACCGCTCTGTCTAAGCTTGAACCCTGGACCATCCCTTAGTTCTCAATATAAATTGCAACGATTGGCCAGGCTCTGGTGAAGGCTTGGGGAGAACAGAAGGTTTGGCTGCTCTTGGAGCCCAGGGGCCAGATCTTCCTCAAAGTCTCTGCAGACACTGCCCTTGTGGGCCCCAGTTCTTTGTTGGTGATGAGGAGCCCAACTCTGCTCCCAACCAACCAATGTGGGGTCCAGGCAGGTCTTTTCTGAGGCTTCTATAGAAGGAAAAGTTGTTTCCAGAGGAAAATCTTCATCCGAGATTTGCAATTCTGCCCTCAGTAAAGACATCTTAATTGTGCAAAACATTTAGATTCTTGTTGTCTTAAACCATTCTATTCCAGCAGGTGATCTGGTTACAAGTTTCATAACCTAAACCCCCATTAAAGTGTCATTCTGCAGTAAGTGACAAAGTTTGTCTTCTTTCTTCAGAGAAAATGAAACACTATAGGCAGCTTTAGAAAAAGCAGATTCTTCCTATATCAGAGTTTCCTAGGAAAGAAGAAAAGGGGCTGCAGGCTCCTCTAGAGCACCCTGCTACATGCCAAGCATGACAGGCTGGGGAGAAGGAAAGGGGGAGGGAGGGAGAGGAGGAGAGAGGGCAAGCACCCTTGGCGTGCAGGCATCCTGGCTGGAGTCAGGCAGGAGATGAGGCAGCAGGCAGGGATGGTGTTTGGGGTGGGCCTGGAGCTGGACTCTTGTGTAAGTGATTTTCTGAGGGAGCTCTGAGGAGAAACCGGTGAGAGAAGCAGGAGGGGCAGGGGAAGGAGCCAAACTGGGGCTCAGGTTAATACCCTGGGAGCTCTGGAGCGGGCATTGCACCGCAGAGATGGGCTTGTGCAGAGCCCAGGGAGCGTCGGTGCTTGTGCGTGCTCCTTTGCTCCCCAGGGAGTCGGGGATAAAGGAACCAGTGGCACTTGGAAGACACGGTGCCCTTTGGCCAAAGGCAGTACCTAGGAGGAGGGGTCTGGGCGCGGTGGTGCCAGCCTCTGCTCGGGCTCAGTCGGAAAGGCTCTGCCGGCCAGGCTGAGGGCTTGGGCCTTGGCAGCGCTGCTGAAGGTTTTAAGCGGTGGAGTGATGTGATCAGATTGGTGCGTGAGAAAGTTCTCCGGCTGCAGAGTGAGGGCAGATCAGGGCGAGGCAGGAAGCAGGGAGCCTGAGCAGAAGCTGAGGCAAGGGGAAGAGACGCTGGTGGCTTTGGGGGGCAGGCAGGGGACCCTCCAGACCAGCAGCTGGCACATTCCCAGGACCTACCAGCCTCACCCCAGCCCCCCACACGAACGACTCCCCCTTCCTTCCTCTTGCCCTCTTGCTCCCTGGAGATTTGTCACTTTTAGGAGGGGGATGGCCGCCCGCCAGCCTCCTCTCTAGCCCTCCAGTGGCCCAGGGCTGGGGAGCTGCCTTCACTGGCCCGTGCCCTTGGCTTTCTTCCAGAACGGGGAGGTGGAATGTTCCTTCACACCGTGTCCAGAGCTGGACTGCCCCCGCGAGGAGTGGTGGCTGGGCCCTGGACAGTGCTGCTTCACCTGCCGGGAGCCCACGCCCATGACAGGTGAGGGCCCCCGTCCTGCGATCCAGGGCTGCACCCCTCAAATGTCAGAGTGCATTTGAGTGTGTAAGTCTGTGTGCAGTGCTGTTAGTACACTTGTGTGTGAGTGATGTCTGCATGTGTGAGTGCGTTTGTGTAAATATGCGTCAGTATGTGTGTGTGTGAGTGTGTGTCTGCGTGTGAGTGGTTTCTCTGTGGGTGAGCGTGTGTGTTTATGTGAGCGCATGTTTGTGTAACTGTGCCTGTGTATACCTGGTGCCTGTTTGGGGGCAGACTCACTAAATGAGGGCTCAGGCAGCCCCAGGGTTGAGCATACACCCTCTGAGCTGTCCACACAGCATGAATTAGAGGCGCCTGTCCTTGCTGGGGCGGGTGTAGGTCCAGCGGGCGCTTGGGACCCTGCTCGGCACTCCTGTCCACCTGTCCTTTCTCCCTCACTGTCCCCTGGCCAGGCTGCTCTCTCGATGACAACGGGGTTGAGTTTCCGGTTGGACAGATCTGGTCTCCTGGTGATCCCTGTGAGTTATGCATCTGCCAGGTGAATGACAACCTGCGCGCCTTCAGCTGCTTTCCGCTGCCCTGCCTCACCCCAGGCAGACCCGGCCCTGGCCCGGGGCCTCGTGTCCCAGGCACCCCTGCCCTGCAGCACCTGGGCCACCCCAGGCCTGCCCTCCGTCTTCTTCCTATGCTCTCAGGTTCCATTTTGACAGAAAGGGTTGGGACCCAGCGTGTTCTGTCCTCGGGTGACTTTTCAGGACACCGGCGCTTGGCAGTCTGCCTTAAGAGTGGGGCGTGACACCCTGTGCTTGTGGAGGGTGGAGCCCTAGTAGCAGGTTTCCCCGGCACAGATAACTGAGGGAGCTGGGGCAGCCAGTAGTTCAGGCCTGGTCCGTGAAATCGCGGTGTTTTCATCACCGACGTGAATCGTGCGACCTCATCGCGTCAGAAATGCAGGAGGAGGTGCTGGAGGGAGTTTTGGCGTCAGGTGGATGGAAATGCAAACCAGCTGTTACCTAGAAACACGGTCTTTTTAGCTCAGTGTTTAAGTGTGTTTGGCTCTCCTTTCAACTTTAAAAGACTTTAGACTCCCTTAGAGCTTGATGTCTCAAAATGCGGCGCCTGTACCAGTTGTACCAGCGGTGGTGTGGGTGTCACCTGGAGCCTGGTGGACACGCAGAATCCAGGGCTGCCCAGCCTCCCGGCTCAGAGCCACCTTTCCCTGCCTGGCGATGGGAGTGCGCATTGGCGTGTGAGATGCACAGCCTTCGGGCCCCTTTGACGTGCCAGGTGTTAAAAAGCCTGAGACCCTTACAAACTGGGAAACGTGTCATTGGAGTTCGGGTTGGGAGGGAAGTGTGTCCACTGCCTTCTTTCTCCCTCGTGACTGACCGGGGGCATTCAGGGCGTAAGAAAGTAACTCAGAAGGTTCATAAGCATTCAGGTTCTTAGGGAAAAAAGAGAAAGCTTATGTGGCACTTTTGTCTTCTGAAATGGACATTTCAGGTGGAATATAAAAATAGGATTTTATTTTACTCCATCGGTGTGGAGTGAGCTGAGCCTTGGCTGCTGCGGGAGAGGGACAGGAAGCCGAGGGACGGGACCCCAGCCCTGGCTCTTATCTCCCCTGTTTTTGGCTCTGGGAGCCTTTGGAAGGCTCACACTCCTTCCCCAAGTAGCTGGTCCTGTTTCGGGGAGACCTGCCACCTCCCGTTGCATCGGGCCCCTTTGAGGGCAAGCCTTGGCCAGTCTGCAGCATTGCCCTCTTTTGGGGGGGGGAGGGTGGAGTGGGGCGTGGAGCCGGAGGTGGGTGTCGCAGGTGGGGCTTGGTGAAGTTGCTCGTTCCTTCAGGCAGATGGTTCCGTGAGCTGCAAGAGGACAGACTGTGTGGACTCCTGCCCTCACCCAATCCGGATCCCTGGACAGTGCTGCCCAGACTGTTCGGCAGGTAATTCCCTGCCGGGGGCTGCACAGCGCCCCTCCCCGCCGTTGCTTTCAGGCTACCCCTGTACCAGGCTCCCCCGTGCGGAGCACCACATGGGTTTCATCTCGGGTTGTCCTCACAGCCACCCCGTGGGGCAACCTCATTTTACAGATGGGGAAACTGAGGCTCAGAGATGTAGAGAATCTGCCCATGGCAGGCCCTATCTGGAGGCAATATGAAGATGTGCAGAGCTTACAGCCTGGGTGGGGTGACAAAGGAACCTGAGAAACAGTTAGACGACAGTGAGAGAAAGAAAAACGACACTTCATTTATAGCAACTTTTCCCTTTTCCCTTGTTTCGAAAGTAACATTTTATTGTAGAACATTTAGAACATACAGAAAGCAAAAAAAAAAAAAAAACTTAAGAAGGGCCCGTCATCTCTTTTAAACGCCATGGTTTTGTTTACCTAGTCTGTTTTGTGATGTGATATCTGTATATAACATATCCGTAATATATATCTCTACCTAACGTATGAGAGATAATGTCATATATATTGTCCTGTAAAATACTTCCCTACTGTCTCATTACCTGCTTTTTTATTTGCTAGTATGTGATAAATATGATCAAGGTGGCAGCATGTAGATCGGGCCTCTGTGGGTATCAGGAGGTAGAGAGGGGGAGGTGCGGAAGAATGTTCTGGAAGGCGGGGTTTGGGGTTTTGCTGAGTGGGGAGCATCAGAGAGGATGGCTGTGGTGCCAGGCACCAGGTCATGTCTCCTGGCCCCTCCGTCCTCATGCACCTGGTGAGGGGGAGAGCAAGAAGCTCTTCACCCTGGGGGGCTGGGGGCGGAGGACCCTGAAGTGGAGTCACTCTGACCCCTCTGCTGAATCCAGTGCCAAAAAGTCAGCACCCACCTCGGACCTGTGTTCTGTCCCTTCCCCAACCCCCGGGCAACTGCCCCGGGATGCAGCTGGCCTGACCTTCACTCCCCAGATAAGCCTGGACCTTTGCCCTGGCTGGAGCCTGGTCCCCAACCACCCTCCACCCCCACCCACCCTGCTGACGCTCACTGGGTGCTCTCCCTGCAGGCTGCACCTACACAGGCAGAATCTTCCACAACAACCAGACCTTTCCGTCTGTGCTGGACCCATGTCTGAGCTGCATCTGCCTGGTACGGCCACCCAAACCTGACCCCTGTCTGCGGAAATTCCTCAGGGACTGCCACCAGCTCCTGGACCCTGGAGGCAAAGTCCAGAGACCTCCAAGAGAAAGGTCACTTCTGGGTCCTGGTGACAGCTGGCTCCCTCCAGCCCTGCCCAGGGTGACTCCTTATCCAGGGCCAGGGATCTGTTTCTCACCCTACCCTGATCAAGTCCTCTGCATCTGGTGACCAGGGAGGGTCTTGGGGGCCGGTCCTCACAGCAGGACAAGGATACTCTCCGAGGGTGCCTGTGAGGGACTCCAGCCCACATTCTCTATTCACATTCCCAAGTTCTTGGCGTGTGCCAGCCCAGGAGCTCAGTTAGTCCTCTGGAGTATCCTTGGAGGTAGGCACCACCATTGTCTCCATCTGCTAGGTGGGGAAACTGAGGCACAGACAAAGTCATTTGCTTAAGATCCCACAGCTAGTGAATTAAGTGCCAAGAATCGAATCCTCGCGCTCTGCACCTGTGCTCCAGGAGGTGCACTTTTACCCCAAACTATACACCACACTGCCTCTCGGTCTGAAAAAGTACATTTGTTAGTTATGTCAGTTAGTGTTTGGAAAATGGAAAAAACTCCTGATCGCTTGTAATGCTGGAAATGTTTAATGCGGACAGAGCTTCTTGCTGGCGGTGGGTGCAGACGTGGCGTGGACAGGGACAGGGTCTACAGAGAGATCGAGGAACTCGGCGAGCATCTCTGGCCTCTCGAGCGGCCCCCCCTTACTCACGGCCATGTGCTCCCGGAGCTTCGGCTTCTGGGTCCTTTCTCCTGGGGTTTGGGTGTTCACCTTTCATGGGCAGTTCATGGATTTGTTCAACAGGTACCTGCTGACAGGTGAGCTCTGTGGACAAGGCCAGCCCCTGACCTAGTGGGGCTTGTGTTCTAGCAGGAAGACAGAACAGACTGACCAAGTGAAGGACCCCACCCCACCCCCACCGTGGACCTCTCCTCGACCTGGGTGGTTCTGATGGGCTACGTGACCTGTCCTTCCCAAGTGTCCCATCAGCCCCCCAGAATGAAGGGCCTTGTATGTTTTCTGTGTCCTGCAGCTGGGCTCAGTGGCCTGCTCGCCCGTGGACTGCCCCATCACCTGCACCTACCCTTTCCACCCCGATGGGGAGTGCTGCCCAGTGTGCCAAGGTGAGTGGGACCAGCCACCCCGCACCCGAGGCTGCCGGGTGGGCCTTGGCTCTCATGGCCCATCTCCTTGCCCCTGCAGACTGCAACTACGAGGGAAGGAAGGTGGTGAATGGCCAGGTGTTCACCTTAGATGATGAACCCTGTACCCAGTGCACGTGCCAGGTGAGCTGGGCCTGGGAACTGGGGCAGTTAAGCCAGGGGCTGCTTCTTGCTTTTGTCCCTTTGCAAAACTCAGAGCCCCTTAGCCACTGTGAACCCATCTTTCTCCCTCTGTCTTTCAATGTGAATTACCTGCCAGAATACCTTTGGATGAGACCATACTCTCCCGCTTTGTGGTTTCCGTAAGGCCACCCTGCTGTGTTTGGCTTCACCTGTTTTTCAGATGGGGGCAGGCACCGTAGCCTCTGTCCCTGGATCTTTCCATGGGTCCCACTGCTGGTGCAAGAGGCCTTTGGGGGTGCTGTTCGGGGCGGGTGAGGTGCTCTGGGCATCCTCACGGGTATCCTTCTACTTCCCTAGCTGGGAGAGGTGAGCTGTGAGAAGGTCCCCTGCCAGCTGGCCTGCTCAGGCTCCTCCGTGACCCCTGGGGCCTGCTGCTCCTCCTGCCCAGGTAAGCAGGCCTTTGGGTCCTGGGGTTTCTGCAGGGAACTTTTAGAGCAGTTTTAGGTTCAGGGAGCGCTCCTATACCCTCTGCCTCCACACGCACAGCCTCCCCACTGTCAACACCCACAGCAGATGGTATATTTTTACCACTGGTGGACCCTACGCTGACACAGGATTTTCACCTGAAGTCCGTAGTTTACATTCAGGTTTAGGCTGAGAGGTCCTCGCTCCTTTATGGTCGGTCCTCAGAGTGGCCCTATGCAATCGTCATTATGCCCATTTTACAGATGAGGAAACAGAGGCGCAGGCAGTTATGTGCCCTACATGACATCACACAGACGATGCCTGGCAGGACCACTCTGGTGAACTGCCTCCCTCCATTCGTGTTTTTTTGGTCTCCTTTCCCTGGAGACAGGCACCAGCTGGTCTTCACCAGGTGCTCGAGGGCCCCCAGAGGACAGAGCTTGGACATCTGTCCCCAGTGCAGCTCATCCCAGAGATGCCTCAGCTGCCGAGAGGACCACTGTGCCTCTTGTTCCTCCACCTCTCTCTAGATGCCCTGGAGGAAAAGCGGGGGCTCCCCCTTCCTGGAGATGTGGCGTTCAGCAGTGAGGCTCAGAGCCCCCACAGAAACACAGAGGACCCCGTCAACTGCAGCTCCTGCCCGGGGCCCCCGGCAGCCCTGCCTCGGAGGCCCGTGCTCCATTTCCTCCAGCTGCTCTTAAGAACTAACATGTCTGACATGCAGACTTTGCCCACGAGCCCCTCGGGAGCCCGGGCCTCACCCTCGCCCCCCGTGGGGCCCTCACCAGGGCCTCCCCTCCCTCCAGGAGCCTCCACTCTACCTCCAGCCTCTCCCTGGGCTCCTGAGCCACCTCCTGTTACTCCAGAGCTTTCGTCTTCAGCCTCTGGGGCCTACTCAGCGTCCAGGCAGCCTCCTCTGCCCTCCACTGTCCTGACTGATGCTTCAGCTCTTTCCACAACAGGCCTGAGCCCCTCAGAGACCCCTGTCACCCTCCTCAGGCCTCGTGGCCTCTCTCCCACCACCTCCAGACTCTTTGCGGCCCTTGTGGCTACCGTCAGCCCTGGCCCCCAGCAGCCCACAACGGGGACCTCAAGCGAAGAAGAGTCCACTGGGTAAGGTGGCCTCCAATTTAGGGCCATGCCAAGGAGACGGACCAAGGAAGCTGCCAGTGGCCCCAGGAGTGTGCAGGGGCCATTGAGGGTCACTCCCGCAGGACTTCTGGTCGAGGAAAACCTTCAGAGCTGACACAGCCTTGCTCCTAGGAAGCATTTGGAATCAGCAGATGCCTTCTCCCCGGGCAGCATGCTCCCCGCAAAGGCCCCCCTCTTGTCTTTTGAGGGAGGCTGGGCTGCTGAGCTCCCCACTCTGGAGGAGGAGGGTCGGTGAGGGCCTGAGATTCCACTGGGATTGTGTCACCCGAGTCACTGTCCTCGCCCGAGGTTTTGATTAAAGGCTGTCTCAGTCTTCCCCTGGCTCATTCACTTCCCGCCTTTGGAAAGGTGGGAAAACCTCACTGCACGCCCACAGGTGGTAAGCTGGCACCCGCCCAGCCCTCAGCTGCGGAGAGAAGCCTGCCCCAAACGGGCTGCCCTGGTGGGGGGCCCTGTGTAATCGTGAGCTGGCCTTTGATGCCAGGAGACTAATGAAGTGAGACAGGAAAAGACGGGTGGAGAGGGCTTTGCAGGTGTGGGCTCCCTGGCGGGCACCTCTGGGAGGAAGTGGCAGGCAGGCTGTTCCTTGTCATCAACACCCGTGGGGGCGGGAGTGAGGGACATGGCCGGCCGCCCTGCCTCCCGAGGCCTCAGCCAGCTCCTCTGGGAGCTCTGAGGCTGGGCGGTTCTTCAGAGCTGTCCTGAGGGAGGGGAAGAGGGCAGCTTTGTGTCCCCGTGTTGACCAGTAATTCGATCTGGGCTGCCCCAGGGAAGCAGCGTGACCTTGGCCAGTCGGCTCTCTGCAGCCAAGGCAATTCCTGACGAGGGCAGATGGCACGCTATCGGCCAACAGCCTTCCGGGCAGCTGGGGGACTAATCCGTCAGTCCTTGGGTGGGGGCGGTGGGTGGGCACTGCATGGTTTCCATGACAGGTGGAAAGAGGACAGTGCTGTCATTAATGAGGCAAGTCAGTTGCCGCTGGAAGGCAGAACTATGATGTCACCAATTTGCTACCACTGAAACCCAGGAGGGCTGCAGAATAAGCTGCAGACAGATGCAAAGGGCTTAGAGACCATTTTGTCCAGTTAGACACAAAGGATGGTGCTTAAGAGAGAGGTCTGCCTGGCCGGCGTGGCTCAGTGGTGGAGAATCACCTGTGAACCAGGAGGCTATGAGCCAGGAGATCGTGCTCCAGTTCTCAGGGCACAGCCTGGGTTGCAGGCTCAATAGGGGGCGTGCAGGAGGCAGCCGATCAGTGACTGTCATTGATGTTTCTATCTCTCCCTCTCCCTTCCTCTCTCTGAAATCAATTAAAAAAAAAAAAAATTAAAAAGAGAGAAGTCTCGGGTGTCCTGACCGGGTTTGAGCCCTACTCAGCCTTGATTAGCCCAGGGACCTTGGGGCTCAGCTCCTTTGTCTGTATGGTGGGGCCTAATCCCCCCTTGTGGAGTTATGATGGTACCATGTGGTAATGCCTCCGTGAGTCTCTGTAGTTCGTGACCCTGTGCAGCCACCCAGCTTCCGCTGCCACCTGGATCTAATTTCGGGGTGGAAGTGTAGGACCCTGGCTGCCTCAATCACTGCCTCCAAGTTGCAGCTTCTCAAGCGGGCTGTCAGCATGGTAGTGGCTAAAAGTTAGCGTTTTCTCATTGCTATTATCACTATGCAATAAAGGGTGCAATTCAAGTTTTACTACTAGTCTCTGCCCCTCCCCCCAATAGAACTCAAGTAAAAGATGTTCATTTGAATGTTTAAAAAAATGCATGGGGGAGGGGGCAGGAGGACAGCTGTAAACATTTTCCCCAAGTTGGTCCAAGTGTAAAAACAAGCTTATCACAGCTGGGGCCACGGAGGCCCAGAGAGGTTAGGAGAATTCCTAAGGCTGCACAGGTTCTGAAGGCTGTGCTGGGAGGAGAGCCCTGCTCCGACTCCCAGCCTGGGCTTTCCTTGGTTGGATTCTTCTGTGGGACTTAAGAGAGACAGTGGATGGCCATAGTCGTTAGAAGGGCGCTGTGACCACCTTGGCTTAGTTTGGGCTCCACCAAGAGCAGACCCAGAGATAAATATTTGGGTGCGAGTCACTGACCTGGGAGGTGATCCCTGGGAACAGATGAGGGAGCGGTTGTGAGATGCGGAAGGGGAGGAAACCAAGACACATGAAAGAGTGATCCCTGCTGTAGGTAACTGGTCCCAGTCCTTCCATGGACTCTCTGGGAGACCTGTAGCACATGTCTCAGGATTATTCCCAACAAGGGCCTGAGGATGCCATTCTTGTCCCTCTTGTTCCTGGCATATCCAGCTGGCCCTGCCCAAAATCTTGCCTGTCTCCTGCCTGCTCCCTCCCAGGCACAAGAAGGCTCTTGGGGAAGCAGTGTGGGAACCGTCTGCAGAGGACCTCCCGGCTGGGCCAAGGCTCTCACTGCCTCTCACTGTGGTCCACGCAGTCCCTTCTCGGGGCCCCTGGGGGCAGGCAGTGTTGTGACATGCTGGGAGCCCCGGTGGGATCTGACTTCGTATGGACATGTTCTGCCCACAATGAGCCCCAGGGTGCACTGCCCCTGCCCAGGGCTGACTCCAGGAGGCCGAGGACCACCTTCAAGACCCCAGATGGGCACGTAATGCTTTTAACAAACAGGACGAGCTGATCTGAATTCTCAGCAGCCTGGGCTCCCTCAAGCAGGAGGGTGTTTGTCCTTGGGTGAACACCCTGAATCCTCCTTACTTAGGACTCCACGTTCAGGGTGTGAGAAGCAGCAGAGGATGGGAAGAGCATGTCAGAAGCCTGTTCCACACGGTTAGTTTCACTGGACCTAGAGATTCTCGAAGGCCAAGTGATCAGACCCGTTTCAGGAGACCTGATTATGGAGGTGATTAGATGAATGGGCCTGAAGACCAACCACAGGAGGTTTCAAATTAGGATAAACTTTCAGAGGTTTAAAAGTACCTTTCCTTAACTTACTCTGAATGTGTAGTATATCCCAACCTCTCCTGTGATCTCTGGTTCTTGGGTGTCTCAGTTCCTCTATGGTTCAAATATAGCACAGTATAGACCGTGTTGTCGCCTGTTTTTCTGTTTTTCCCCCCACCCAGCAATCGCTTCTCAAGATCTTTCCTTCCCAGTACCTAGCAAGCATACTCATTTCCCCCTCCACAGCTGTGTAGCAGCTCCTCGTATGCACGCACTGTAAGTTGTTTATTCCCGTTGGGTGGACATTTGGGTGATTTCAAATCTTGCTCTTACAAAAGGTGCTGCAAAGGGACCAGAAGCGGGGCTGGGAAGGAGAGGCCGAGCTGCAGCTGGTGGAGCTGAGGAGGGGGAAGAAGGAAGCACGTGGCCAGGAGCAGAACCGGGAGGGTCCGGGAAGACCTGCCTGCGCCCCCTGCCTGCCCAGGGCCCGGCTCCTAGAGGGTGCTCGGGAAATGTCAGAAATACCAACAGCCAAGGAGCCAGGACACTGTGAAATTCCTCCCCAGAAATCTGAGAGGTCCACCTGTTGGTCCCATGACCAAATATGACCGGGACAGAATGCCGGTAGGGGTGGGAGCAGACCCATCTGTTGTCTTAAGCATGGCCTCAGTCAAATCAGGTCCCCTCTCTCCTATCCAGATTGTTTTCTTCTAAAAAGTCATCTCAAATTCATCACTCAGTCAACATCTGAGCATCTACCTTGTGCCAGGCCCTGGGGCTCCAACAGTTAGATGACCATAGTCCCTGCCCAGATGGGTGTGAAGCAATCGCGCCTAGGGTTGCAGGGCTACCGGGTGCCCAGTGCTGCAGAGGAAAGGAGGGCTGGCTCTGTGGGAGGGTGGTCGGGGAAGGCTTTGCAGGGAAGTGACCTTTAAGCTGAGAACTGTAGGGTGCTAGGTGTTTGCAGGTCAAGAAAAGAGGAACAGCAACCCAGGCAAAGGGAACGGTGTGTGCAAAGGTCAGGAGGTGGGGAGGAAGTTTGCATATTTGTGGAGGGGGAGAAGGCCAGGGTGGTGGGGACCTCAGGGTAAGAGGGATCAAGGTGAGGCAGGGAAGGTATGTAGGGACCAGAGTATGCAAGGCCTGGAGGCCACGCCGAAGCTTTATTGTCTTATCCAAGAGCAATTGCAAGGCATTAATGAAAGGTTTTAAGTAAGGAAAGGATGTCATCAAATTTATGTTTCAAAAAAATGGCTCAGCTGTCCCTTCCTAGAGCCCAACATCTTAGATCTTTGTGAGTGACAAATGACAAATTGTGGGATGGTGTGACAAAAGCTGATCTAAAGCAATGTTGTTCTCGTCACCCCAAAGTCACTCCCTCTCAGCAGGGAGACCCAGCTCCAGCCTGCAGGCCAGTGTCTCCAGGGGACAGTCTGGAATCCAGCTGCCAGCAGCCGCAGGAGCTATTGGAATTTCTCCAATGCGTATGCAGAGGAGCACAGGACGGTAATAGGTTTACTAGCAAAAGAGGACCTGGGATTGAGCTAAGCTGAGTTAAAGTGAAGCATCACTCTGCAGCAGGACTTCTCAGAGCCTTTGATTGGGATGAACCTCGAAGAAGGGCCTAGAATGAGCATGTTCCATACTTATTTTGAAACTTTGGTTTTCGCTGAGCATTTTGCTACCAAACTCACTCTGAGAAAGCCTGCTGTTTCCTGCTTGCATTTCTAGGGCTTATTTGTTAATGAGCGTGCTCAGTTCCTTCTCTTGAAACGTCTATTCAGGGAACAGGAAAACCATCCTCTTTCCTCTTGGGGAAAGTGTGGAGGAGTCCTCAACTCTTAGACTGGATCAGCCAGCTAAGTACAGAGAGCAGCCTGGCAGATTGTGGGGTGTCAGCTTCCGTCACCCCTCCAGCCCATGTCTTCCAGACAAGACCACGTAGGAATGTCACTAGTGGCCACCTATCCTTGGTCCCTCCTTTTGTCTCATCTTACTGGTTTTGGGAGAAATAAGAAGTCAATTCCCTTAACCAATGGCCCGGCATTTCTGGTCCCCAGTCTTTTTTATTTTATTTCATTTCATTATTTTTATATTGAAGTATAACTGACTCCCAAGTCTTTATACGATGCTCCCAGCAGGACCTGCCAAGGCCCACTTGCCTTTCTGGCTCTACCTGAAGCGTGAGCTGCCTCTGCCACGGTGTTTGGTGCTGTCCCAGTGAACGTGGCCTTCTCTGTGCCCCTGCCCTGGCGTTCTGACCCCGGTGATGGGAGGAGAAATACCAAGGAGGGGAAGCAACTCCATGAAACATTTTTTAGGAGATTATGTTTTTATTCTACATTATTGGTATGACAGGGAACGGGGCCGCGATCTCACGGAAGGCCAACGGGGAGAATTATATACACCTAGGGTGGGCACAGGGCTGGGCAGGACCTTCCTGGCAGCAGCGGGAGGGCCTGAGGCTTAGGCCACGGGAGCCAGGCCCACCTGGTTGTTGGCCCTGTCGAAGACGGTGAAGTACTGGCGGATGAAGACGTCGCCCAGGATCCAGAGCTCTCCGGCGGGGGTGGGGATGTCCATGCCCTGGAAGCCGCTGGTGCAGCCCTGCTGGCTCTGGGGAAAGGAGAGTGGAACCCAGTGGGACACGGGCTCAGTGGGGACAGGCGCTCGGGACTAGGCCCCGCGGGCCGTGGGCCGCTGCAGGGCGCGTGCGGGGAGGGGCTTCCTGCCTCCTGCCCGGGACTGGGGTCTGCCTGCAGGCTGTTCACCGCACCATCGCTTTCCAGGTTTACTAGACACCATTTAGCATTTCCGGCAGATGCACAAGCACTGACTTCAGCATCGGAGCCACAGGGCTGAGGGAGAAAGCTGCCCGGAAGGGTCTGGAAGCCCTGGTGACACAGCCTTGTCTCGTTCTGATCCTGCTCAGCGACAAGCCAGGTCAGCTGTGAGTCCTTCTCACTCACCGGGGCCCTGGGCCACACAACCTTGGGTGCGCATTAGAGTCACCTGGGAGCTTTGAGAAGCCCACTGCTCAGGCCTCGCCCCGACTAATTCCTCAGCGTCGCCGGGGGAGCGCCCGGACTCAGCGCCCCTTGGAAGGTGACCTCCACCCACTGGGCCAACACGCTTCCTCCTGGCAGCGGAGTAGACCGTGAGGGGCTTTCCTGGGGTTCGTTCGACTGGGGATTTGTTACTTGGCAGAGGCAGCAGGAGCGTTTTAGCCCGGACCCTACGTAAGCCGTGATTTTCATTTGCTCAGCCCTTCACGGCTTCGCTGTGCCAAGCTCCCCCGATTCCCCTAAACCACACTCTGAATCAGTGGGCTAGTAATCGGGGCCCAGGGCTTGGACTCAGGCGTCCAACCGGAAATCCTTGTCTTGCTACTGTCACTGGCCTTCCTTTTTCTCTTGGGGGGGCACGGTATGCAAGTTCTCGTTCACGCATTGTTGTTAGTGTGCTGTCTCCCTGGAGGCAGCCCAGAGCAGACGTCAGCTGCAGCTCGCGAAGGGCACTGCTCCTGTGCCACGTGGGGGGCTGTGGCCACACTGTGCAGCGCACCCAGGAGGAAGGCCCAGAGCCCCCTTACCTGCAGGATGTAGGCGCTGGGGGGCAGAGGGTACTGGATGCCGTTGATGGTAAAGACGATGTTGGGCAGGCTGTTGATGGCTGCGCAGCTGACCGTCATCTGGAAGGAGTGAGGGTTAGAAGGTTATTCCTTCTGCATGGCCGACCCACCGCTGGGTCCAGGCCAGGGACGTGAGGGCTGGGCTTACCTGGCCGTACGAGTTCTGGCTGGCTCCAATGTAGCGCTGGATGTTGGCAATGGCATTGGTTGGGCCAGACAGCAGAGAGGTGCCAGTGTCAACGATGGCCTGGCAGCCCCCATTGCAAGCGATGACCTCGCCGTTCATGGTGATGCTGAGGGCGAGATGCAAGCGAGGGTTTCCTTAGCCCCAGGGGCACATCTCCCGGAGGAGGAACCAAGTGACTCCAGAAGGCCCCTCTTCCCCACCCATCGGACAGTACATAAAATTTCAGCTTCTCTCATTCCTGGCTTAGGCGGGACTGTCCTGGTTTTAGGACTGCAAATTCTCGCGTCCCGGGAAACCGCTCGCGCCTGGGCAGACCTGGGTGATCGGTCGCCCTCGCAGGGTGGCCAGGGGAAGGACAGCTGGGGAGTGAGGCTGCATGGGGGACAGGCAGGCCCTGAAGACGAAGGGGGGACGGGATGGCCTGAAACAACTTCTCAGCCGTTTTGCCCTATCTCTAGACTAAAAGTGACTTTTTCCTAGAATGGGAGGAGTGTGTGGCAGCTCACAGGTCCCCTAAAGGCTGAGATCTGTGGACAGCGGTTGGGGTCTCAGGCAGCGCTCCTCCTCCAGTGAGGTGCCTTTCTCGGGGTCTCTCTGAGTTGGCCAGCTTCCACCTTCCCCCCAGGGGTACATCTCCCTGCGGTTGGTTGTTCCAGTGGGATTCTGGAAAACTTAGTTACCACGAGTCTATAAAGAAATGGGATCTGGGGCCCGCGCCAGGATGTGGCCCATCCACGATGCTCGCACCTGTCCACGGTGATCTGCCAGTAGGTCTCAGAAGAAAGAGGCACCCAGTTCAGGTTCCCAGTGTAGTAAGAAGAATCGATGCCGCCAAACATCACCACACTGCCACCCTGGTCATTGCTTTGAAAAGTGGGGGAAAGAGACAGGAATTCATTCTTTCCTTCATTTACTCATTCAACTGTACATAAACTGTATGTATCCCAAGAGCTACCTATTTTCTTTCTTTTTTTTGCTATGGAATTTTGGCCTCTATCTGAAGTGGATTCACTTTGATCGGGCTCTAGCCAGGGCCAGGAGCCAGTGCTGAGTGTGTGACAGACAGGGTCTCTTTTAATCCTTACACCACGGCCCATGCCATGGCCACTAGGATGATTATTATTTCCACTTTACAGAGAGGCACAGAGGTGAGGTGACTTGCCCAAGGCCACACAGCCAGGGAGTGGCAGAACCAAGAAGCAGAACCCAGGTCTTCCTGGTTCCAAATTATGCGAAATGAATACGTGGCAGTGTCTGCTCTTAAGGACTTGACAGTGTAGTTCTCATTCTCAGCCAGGGCCAGTTTTGCCCCCAGGGGACAAATGCCAATGTATGGAGATGGTTTTGATAGTCATGACTGGGTGGGGCCTGGGGTGTCCCTGGCATCTGGGAGGTAGAGGACAGGGAGGCTGCTAAACACCCTACAATGCACAGGACAGCCCCCAATGGCAAGGAATGATCTAGCCTAAAATGTCAATAGTGCTGAGACTGAGAAACTCTGATCTAGCTGGAGAGATAAGATGGCCCCGTGTGAACATCTAAGTACCTGTGAAGGCAGATCCTGTTTAAGGGCCGACCTGAATATTAAGTGGCCAAGAGGAGAAAAGATAAAAGGGCCTTTCTGTTGTAAACTGCAGGGGTCCTTGTTACTGGAAGGTTCATTGTCTAAATCACAGCAGATTTGGACAATGAACCTAGATAGGGAAGCAAATGCCGACAAAGAAATTAATCACCAAAGAACGGCCACGGATAAAGCTCTTCCCACCCAGCTAACCCCACCCCGCCTTCGCCACTAGCCTCCGACAGTACAAGCCACACAAGGTGATTGTGGCAGAACAGTTAATGGCCAAAGAGAACATCAACCTCGACTAATTGCCTCAGAGAAGGATGTCTCGGGAAAGCTCTGACACCCTCAGATATTCTTGCATAAACCTCTACTCAACCAAAACCGACACCTGGTCCATTCTTTATTTGTTTTTAGGATTAACTCACAGTCACAACAGAAACCTAGATTTTAACTAATGAAAGAAACTTGGGTTCATCCTTTAAAAGTTTCACTGCTCAAGATTTAAGTTCCAACCAAATCTTTTCCCCCCTTTTTTGCTATGAAACTTTGGCCCCAATTTTAAGCAGATTCACTTTAACTGGTGATCTCTGGGGGCCAGTGATGAGGGGACTGGTGCTGGAGAGCCAACGGCTGATGGTGTCGGAGTTGCATAAGTCAAATATGACCAACGGAGAAGGCTGGTTGCAGAGGGATTCGGTACTGTTCCCTCTAAAGATACACCTCTCAAGCTTTAGACGCTGACCTTTCAAATCCCTTGCTTGCTAAGACCCTCTCCACCCCACCCAGCCCTGGACAGCCCCCTGCTGGGCCAGGTGACCGTGACCTCCCTGCCCAACTTACGAGCTCAGGTAGACAGAGAAGAGGTCCTGGGAGAGCAGGCCCTGGTTCCACATGTTGTCGAAGACGGGTGTGGCCCCGGAGGAGGCGATGCTGGGGTAGGCCAGACCCAGGATGCCGTCGAAGGGCGAATAGTACAGGAAGGAGCCGGGCTCCTTCTCGCTCAGGCCGAAGATCTGGTTGGTGTCGGCGATGCCTGCGACCTGAGTGGGGAGACCAAGTTGTTCATGATCAGCTCGTGTCCGCTGAGCTGTGTGCGGCGCCAGCGGGGGGCCCGGAGCGTCTCGGCTCATTCTGTGTAGGACTCAGCTCTGGGCGTCGGGCTGGAAGGACAGGAGCGGGACTGTCCCCGGGAAAACTTGTTATTCCGCTGGAGGTAACCATCGTGGCTGATCTCCAGATGGCCACAGTCTGCGACTTGGTGTGAGAATTTGCTGCAGAACAGATGGTCACCGTGCGCTTGTGTGTCTGAGGAACGGATGCAGAGCAGACTCCAGGCAAATCAGAGCCCTCGACCCTTGCTGTGCCCTGGAAGGGGGAGCTGCTGGAGCTTTTGGACTGGGGTGGGGGCTGCAGTGGGGGGAGGGAGGAGGTACTAGAAGAGAACTGAGCCTTTTTTT